TCTACGGTGTTTTGTTAATAAACTTTTTGAGCTTGAAAACCCAGCGTTGTCGATGCTTTACATATTTGTTATGGTATCCCTGTGTTTATGACAAACTTTCTGAGGAACAGTTAAAATGACTACAAACGATTGTGAATCAATTTTTAATGGCACGCATGGGACTAAGCCTAAGTGTGAGCTGCGAATACACTGCTGCAATAGTTTTTTTTTTAAATTAATGTAAGCTGGTCTCAATCTACTTACATTCGCTGGTTTGATTCACGGACTCTTCAACTATTTATCTGCGAGCAATTTTGTGTTTCCCAATTTGAAAATGAACTATTTATTTAATTTTAATTCGTTTCCCCTATTCATTTATGATCTACCCCGCTGATACACACAAAACCCAAAACCCAATTCTACACATAAATCTATGCAGGGGTACGATTGTACATTAAATAAATGACCTTATGGATATTATTGATGCCTTCTTGAATAACAATGGCGTCGAGAAGCCAAAATGCCTTACAGAGAGTTAAAAATGGTTTGCGCATTTTTAGGCCTCCGCTACAAAGTAGCGCACGGGTTGTCCGTACGTCCCGTTCTCGTGATCGTGTTATCTCAAGAACCAATTGATACATTACTGCCAAACTTGGGTCATGTATGTATCTTGCAGAGCCAATGGACTGATAAGATTTTTGGGTCGCGAGATCTAAGGTCAAATGTCACAGGGCTCATTATGTATGCAAAAAAAGCTTGTGATCACGTTTATCTCAAGGACGGATTGATGGATTCCCTCCAAACTTGGGTCATGTATGTATCTTGATAGCCAACGATCTGCTTAGATTTTGGGGCCATGAGGTCAAATGTCAAAGGTCACAGGGCTCATTTTGTATGCAAAAAGTTTGTAATTACACTATCATTAGAACCGGTAGACGGATTACCATCATACTCAAGACATGTATGTATCTTGCTGAACAAATGAACTGATTAGATTTTGGGGTCATGAGGTCAAAGTTGAAAGGTCATGGGGCTCATTATGTATGCAGAAATAGCTTGTGAAAATTTATTAATAGAACTGATGGATGGATTACTATCAAACCCAAGACATGTATGTATAATAATAAAAAAATAATAATAATAATAAATTACATTTATAAAGCGCTTAATACAATGTTTCTAAGCGCTTAACATACAAGTAATTAGGTACAACGTAAAATAAACATACAGCAATAATAATACACAATTCTAATAATAACATTACAGATAATTAATCTGCCCTATAAATTACTATTACCGGTAAACAAAAAAAACTTCAAACTTGCCTTAAAACTTGCCTTATCGTGCAGAGCCAATGAAGCATTAGATTTTAGGGTCAAAAGGTCATGGATCAAAGGGTCAAACATGTATATGAAAAATAGCTTGTAATCACAGTATTCTGTTTTAATGGATTCAAATCAAAATTGAATTTTAAAATTGCTTCTGTTTGGCTGTAAAATTGCTCCATGGCGGAGGCATCAATTTCGACTGCGAGCAGTCGAAGGTCCATCTAGTTTAAAGATGAAGTTGAGTTCTGGTCATGCGATTGCATTGTGAAAGAAACGGTGTGGAACCGACCGGAAAATGTTGATCATCTAGCATATGAGAATTTATGTTTATTGCAAGGTTCTGGAATCATCAAAATGATAAAAAATTGGCCAAGTCTTGGTAAATTTACAAACACTTGCACAGAAAGATGTATATGGGACTACACGAACACGTGGCGTAAAAAGCCGGCCCCCGATTTTTACGATGTTACATGCATATTTAGAATATGAAGGCATTTGAAGAGCCATGCTTTTCAGGGAACATGTCTTAACTGATGTTCTTCCACACTTGCATAATAAGAATGAGTAATGTTATCAAATTATTTTTCACCTCTTCCCAGAACTCAACCTTCTCTTTAATCTAAATGCTGGTCCTTCAAACAACTTTTTTGGGGTGGACGCCGCGAGAAACACCCATTGGACACATTAATTAAGAGCCATTTAAATAGACCTTACATAGTTTACCAGACCAGGTTAAGTTGATTAATTGGTTACTCTTATTTATAGTCCATGCACATTCCCAAAGAAGTGAATAACACTTTGTTGGGCAAGCAAAAAACAGAAGAATACACGCCATTTCTACTTAAACCGAGTTGGCCAAACTACAGGTTTATGTGAAGAGAGGTCGGTTATGGGCACAATACAAAGAGATTCGACCATACATACTGCAGTATGTCCTCCGAAGAAGGACTAGAGGGACAACTAAACCTGTGACCTTTGACATGCTATGGGTTTTGCATTGGATGCTTCGTCCAAATTGAACTTTAATTTTGGAGGGTAATTGCTTATTCATGAGCAATGACGTCAACAATTTTGGTGATTGGCTTTTAATAAAATGTTAAAATTTTTGTATTAGACCATGCATAAAACATGTTTTCCTTCCCACAATTCCCTACGACACTTCACAAGAATCTGGAAAATGGCGACTGGATGATCTGTGCAACTTTTAAGCTATTCAGACATGAACGGTAGACATTTTTCTTTCAAGTGAATTCCTATTCCAATAGAAGTTTGTCAAGTAAATCTCAGTGAAGCAGAACATCTTCAGGGAAACATCTACACCAAAGTTATACTATATAATACCAAGAAAAGAAAGTAAAAATCCATTTTGAGTGATAATCTCTGATTGTGATGTTTTCGTCGTTCCACTTGCAGTCGGTGTGCTCTATGCATTGTCACAAACCCCTATCGGACCTATCCCATATCCTTTCTTTTGTCTGACCAAATAATATTAACTCATTGAAGAAACTCTCATTTAATTCGTCGACGTTAAATTATCTACAAAAAATCAAAGGTTTACCCTAGATTATTTCATTTGGACACCTTTCATACTTTTAAGGTTTCAATTCGTAGGTTGATTATCGACAATAATCAGTGGTAGATGTCGACCTGTTACACAGACTGCACAAATATCTCATTCCGATTCGAGGCCGACGGGATCTTTTCAAGCGGATTGTGCATTTTGCCGATTCTAGCCGGGTGTAACAAACAACAAGAAGTGACTGCGTTTCCTGAGCTGGCGCGGCCATAATTGCCTTCACTTTATTATAAGATCTAGACTAGACTATATCTAGTCTAGATCTGACAGTAAAGTCTACACTGAATCTGGACCTGGATCACGATCAAATGACACTAAACAGCTTTTATCCCAGCATTTATGATAGAATCCTTTACCTTGAGCTTTGCTTTGCGAATGTCTATACACAGCAAAATAAGGGGATAAATGACGTTTAGTCTTTAAAGTCTAGACACCATTTATCCACGCATTTATGATAAAACCCTGTACCTTGTACTTAAAATGTAATGATTTAGGAAGATCAACGTGGAATTTCAATTGAGGAATGTGAAGTTAAAGGGAAATCCGACGCAAATAGACTACTACTCTAAAAGAAAGCAAAAAAATCAGAGAAGAAAATTGATGAAAGTTTAAAATAAATCTGACTGAATATAAGAAAGTTAGGAATTTTTGAGAGTTGATTGATATCACTATATTAGTATGGCCACTTTAAACTGGCTGAAGCGGTAATTTCAATGTGATGTAGTGCCGGACCCTTTTCCCATCTGTTCCAACATACAACATGACTAAAAATCTAAATGTTTTCAAAAAATTCATTGCTCAAGAGGGTCTTTTGTTTTTAGAGGACCTATAATAATATATCTAGAATATATTATGAGTAGTGCCCCAATGGAGAGGAAGTTACAAGAAAAATACCGAAATACCAATATGAGATTCGCACAGACTTAGTGATCTCATATTTCAAACATTCATATTACTTCCTTACTATTGGTCCGATTCATTTTAAACTTTTGCCATTCTGTTTTTGTTATTTTTCTTCTTTCATACAAATCAAATTATTACAAGGGTTGTGTAGTGTACATGGTGTTATACCACCTCGCCAACTGTTATACTGCCATCTGTTGTTGGATAATAAAGACTGGCTTCAATATGGCCGATATCAGAGTGTAGCTGCTTCGTCATTTCGTGTCTCAATACACCACATTGGCGATGAGGAAGGGATTCAGGGAGTCCGACGTCGGGATCGAAAGGACAGCTCATTGCAGTTCTCGTGGGTAGTAGAAACCTACATTTCATTCGATTACGACTCAACGATTGTGGTGAGACAAAATCCTGATCGAAAGTTGACATTTGTAATTTCCTGCATGTGTACTGTATGAATATGACCATGAGTGAATGATCATCAGTGCGGTATGGCGAATGCAGTGGGGCCGGGACTCATTGGCCAGATTGGGGAATATTTTCTCAAAAGAGAAGAATATGAAAACTATGTTAGAAGATTCCAGATATGGAAAAAAGCCAATAAGATACCAGAAGGGGAGGAAGTAATTGTGTTCTTAGCCATAGTTGGGCCTGAGGCGTTCGAAACGGTGTCTAACCATTTTTGTCCAGACGACCCAAGCACCAAAACTTTCAAAGAATTGAATGAGGTATTGGATACCTATTATGGTTCCAGTAAAAACCAGATTGCACTCCGTTTGACGTTCCGACAATGTCGTCAAGGGGCAAAGGACTCGATAACAGAGTACATCCTTGAACTGAAAAAGCTGGCAAGGCATTGTGGGTATGGTGAGCATCCGGATACCAACCTTCGAGACACTTTCGTAGCAGGTCTGCGAAATAACAAGGTGCAGGTGAAGCTCCTGACCGAAGGAAATGAGCTGACCTGGAAAGTTGCAGTTGACGCAGCAATTGCGATGGAGCTGGCATATGAAGATAGTTTAAAACTACAGCAAGGGTCAAGCAGCGGTCAACGTTCAGCAGAGGTGCATCGTCTAGAAAGATCTCAACCTAGGGCCCCCAGCAGGAGAGCAAATGTTACCGATGTTTAGGTTTTCATCAACCTGCTACTTGTCCCCACCGGCAGACGACCTGTTATAGTTGCAGGAAAGTAGGGCATCTGAAGAGGGCATGTAGAGATGCAACATCAAGCTCCAGTTACAGTAAAGGACGCGGAAAACCATGGAAAGCAAGTCGCGGAAAGTCCAACGAACCATCGCAAGGACGCGGTAGAGGTCCAGGTCCAGGTCCAGGCCGTGGTCATGGGTATAGTCAGCCAAGTACAAGTCAAGGAAAAAAAGGACATTAAATCGAACACACATCTGATCGACACAGAAGTCCAGGATGATAATCGTAGATTTTTCGCAGTTGATTAACAAGATACTAGTATGGACTCAGACTCAGTTCCTATTGTTAAATTTGATATTTCTGATCATGTTGTGCCATTTGTTGTAGATACAGCAGCAGCTGTTTCAGTAATTTCAGAGAAAGAGTACAACAATGCTCTAGGTCACATTCCACTGCAAAGGTCAAGTATGAAACTAACTTGCTATGGTAGAATACAAATACCAGTTTTAGGTAGGATACAAGTGAGAGTACAGTACAGAAATTCTGCATATTACTACCATTGGAAGTTGTACCAGGTGACAATGTCGCCCTGATGGGTAGGAATTGGTTGAGAAGAATCAGGATAGATTGGGGAGAGTTGTTTGAGATTGTTTGGGCTTACTTAAAAAAAAACAGATCTTCAAGAAGTGTTGAAACATCATGAAGATGTGTTTAGACCAAGTGGTCCAGGTGATAAGATTAGGGATTTCACGGCAGAGGTAAAAGTGAAAGAGGAGGTGCAACCTACCTTTTTTAAAGCTAGACCGGTTCCTTATGCCCAGTTTGAAGTAGTGGAGAAGGAGTTGGATAGGCTAGGAAAAGCAGGGGTGATCAAGAAAGTGAAGAATAGTAGATGGGCGGCCCAAATAGTTACTGTTCCAAAGTCTTATGGGTCAGTCAGATTATGTGGCGACTATAAGCAAACAGTTAACAAGGTATTAGAGGAAGACGTTTACCCATTACCTACCTGTGAAGATCTGTTTACTAATCTAGCTGGTGGCAAGGTAGTCAGTAAGATTGATTTGTCAAATGCTTACTTGCAGCTAGAGTTGACCGACAAGAGTAAGGAGCTACTTACAATTCATACACACAAAGAGCTGTATCAGTATGAAAGATTACCATTTGGGGTATCGACTGCTCCAGCAGTGTTTCAAAGTGTTATGGATCGAATCTTAGGTGGTATGAAGGGAGTGTGCTGCTTCCTAGATGACATATTGATTAGTAGCGAAAATGAGGAAGATCATATCAAAACACTGAATGAGGTGTTAGGGAGGCTCCAAGAGTATGGTGTCAAGGCGAAGAAGGAAAAGTGTTCCTTCATGGTTTCTAGAGTAATAAACCTAGGGCATGAAATTGATAGTAAGGGTGTTCATCCTACTAAGGAGAAGGTAGAAGGAATCTGTGATGCAAAGAGACCAGAGAACAAAGATGAGTTGAGAACTGTCATAGGCATTGTGGTGTAGTATGCTAAGTTTGTGCCAAATTTAGCTAGTACATTTGCATCATTATACCAATTGCTCAGAGATGATGTCGAGTGGAATTGGACCACTGAGTGTTAAACTGCTTTTGACAAGGTAAAAGAAGTGTTGTCAAGTGATGTAGTAGTGACGCATTATGATCCAAAGAAACTGTTGGTTTTGGCTTGTGATGCATCCCCATATGGGTTAGGAGTAGTGTTGTCTCATCTCATGGAAGATGGAGTAGAAAGACCGGTAGCTTATGCATCACGCACCCTTACCAAATCAGAGCAAAATTATTCGCAGATTGAAAAAGAGTCTTTGGCTATCATATATGGGGTTACCAAGTTTCACAAGTATTTGTATGGTAGGAAGTTGACATTGTTAACTGATCACCAAGCCCTGACTATCATCTTTGGATCTAAGAAAGGGATTCCATCCCTGGCAGCTGTAAGGCTGCAGAGGTGGGCATTGATTTTGATGGCTCACCAGTATGAAATCAAGTATCGGAAGTCCACATAACATGCAAACGCAGATGTTTTGTCCAGATTTCCTGTCAAAAAGGAGTCACGTTTGGCTAATGAATTACCAGTGAACTACTTCACATACACAAATGCTATGCCTTTATCGGCAAAGGATATTAGTGAAGAAACTAGGAAGGACTTGGTGCTCAGTAAGGTGTTGTATCATGTGATGAATGGGTGGCCAAGTCATTGTGGTGAGGACAAGTTACAAGATATTGCGCAATTGATAGCGAACTGATCTGGAAATGCTTGTGATTTGTTTAGACATAGACATTTGAGAATCAAGAATGACGCCAAGATCGCGACATGAATTTGATAAGGGAATCGTGTTACCGGAAATAGAAATTGAGTCTATATTTAATTTATTCAACTGAGATTTTGAGCCGAAAAGAATGAATTCGCATTTACTATGATTTAATAGCAGAGAATGTGACTTCATCCAGGCGTCAATATCAGCGATGCAATTTTCCAAATTTTGCAAGGTTTGGGAAGCTCGAATTTGATGCGGCGGAAAAGAAACAAAAACTTGTATGTCATCTGCATATAAATGATAACGAACAGAATGACGGTGAAAAACATTTCTGAGACCAGTTAAATATATTGAAAATAAGGTGGGCCCGCCCACAGAGCCTTGGGGTACTCCACAGCCAAGTGGCCTGGGGGAGGATGTGAAACCATTTAAAGGGACAGACTGTGAATGGCCTGAAAAAAAGGATTCAAACCATCCAAGAGCCTGGTCCTGGATACCCAGACTTGTGAGAGTATTTACAAGTATTTTGTGGTCTACGGTGTCGAAGGCTGAGGACAGATCTAAAATGACCATGGCAGTGACGGATCCGGAGTCCATTTCTCGTAAGATTGAGCTTGAAACATTGATGAGAAGGGTCTCAACACTATGATGAGGGCGGTAAGCCGACTGTAAAGGGTCGAATAATTTGTGTTCCAGCAAATAATCTGAGAGTCTAGAGAACACGACTCTCTCTAGAATTTTGAACAAAAATGGCAGATTACACACAGGACGGTAATTTTTCAGGGATTCATTGTCCAAAGAGGGTTTTTTCAACAAAGGGCGTATAAGTGCTGTTTTTCAGACTGAGGGTACAGTGGATTGATTCATACTAAGATTAACAATGTGAGAAATAATCGGGGCAAACGTCGGAGCGCAATCTTTTAAAAGAATAGTAGGAACTGGATCTAATGGACAAGATTTAGGGGGCAATTTACGAAGAAGGGAAAGAATTTCATCTGCGGTGGTATGTTGAAGGGTCCTTAGTGTGGAAGAGGTGATAGGTTCCAGTGGTATAACATTTGGATTAAGACTATCTCTGATTTTCTTAACTTTTAAACAGAAGAACTGAATAAACGTTTCAGCCATGGAATTGCCATCAACATATGACGGCAATGGAGAAGAAGACTGTTTGCGGTTCAAGAGTCGATTGGCGACATTGTAAAGTTTCTTGTGATCATCGCCGCAATCCTCGATGAGTCTGGTGTGGTATGAACGTTTCGCCTTGGAGACAAGGTAGCTCACCCGGTCTCTCTGAGCACAAAACATCTCTCGGTCAATCTGGAGCTTTCCATTGTCCCGCTATTTCCTCTCAAGTCTCCGCCGCTCTTTCTTCGCTTCGGTGATGTCATAGTACCTTTAATATGGAAGTATCATGGTATTATGGTTCATCTACCTGAACTCAATCCAAATCTTAAAATCCAGATTGAGTTGGTATGCCTATATGGATGTACATAATGCAATGTGCCTGAACGATTGGCAATTTGGGGTTTGAATTATATTTTGTCTCACATATATAACAATTTTCCCATTTGGTTATTGATTACATTTAATGAAAAAAGTTGATATCAAAGGTTCACCTTTTCACAGTGCGCGATCGGTCCAAAGTAGGTCTATGTCATGGTGACAGCGCATGCGCGATGTGTATTTAGCCATCTGTGTAAAAACACACACACTCATTCTTGATTAATCGTTTCGATTGGTAATACGCTGATTGCAATTTTTTAGATTTTGCGCGGATATCCACACATTCTACGTCTGCAACAGACTGGAAAATTGATTCTGACAGCAATATATAGCGTTTTTGCGTGTGTCGTCCGTACTGAATGTATCAATTCATTCTTTTTTAACTTGTATTGGATTGCTGATACTATTTTTGAAATCACTACTAGCCATCATCGACCTAATTTTTGCTTAATATTCCCAAAAGTGGTTAAAAAAAGGTACCTATTTTGAATCTGCTATAACTTTTCAGAATGGCTGATTACCCCCAATTTCTCTTTCAAGCTCTGATAGGGTATGAATTGGAAATGTGAATTCATGCATCATGTTTGCTGTTAAAATGATTTCACTTCAACAGTGTCGAAAACAATAGATATTGATTCAATTAGGTAATATTTGCCGTTGTTGTTTTGTATTAATTTCGTCTATCCCTACTCTGATGTACATGTATCTTATAATGTTGTAGCTGAGACTAAATTCACTCTATTACATGTGCTATGTTTCAATTTGTGTATAGAAATCAGGATCGAGGTCGGAGTTCCAATTTAAGGTAAAGACTGCAAAATCTGGCAGTATGGTTTCTACTTGTACGGGCTATCTCCCATTCCATGTGTGTTATATTTCCGTGTGAACAAGCCTTTGCCCACCTGCAGAGACTTACTCAAATTGTAAACACAGTACCTGAGTTTTTAATAAATTTGAACAGGACCTTAGTTCTACAAGAAAGACTGGGTTGCACCTCGGTGGCACTGATAAGCTACATATAACAATATTGTGGTCAATCGGGAACGAGCTCTACGTGTGTTCCGAGTATGAGGTCATTCCTTCTACTCCCACCCCCTATATACCCCTAGTCTCTTCAGAAGGGAAGCACTGATGGCTTCGATCTTGCGGGGGATTTCCTCAATGCTGTGTGGCCTCTTTACTGGATCATGCTTAAAGTAGCTTGGCGAAGAAATTTCACAAAATCACTAAAAAATAGGCAAATTATACATGTCCGGATAGCGTAGACCAATTTGAACACACACATTCTACAACAAATGGCATAACATAATCAGAAATATCAAATTCAACAATAGGAACTGAGTCTGAGTCCATACTAGTATCTTGTTCATCAACTGCGAACAATTTAGGATTATCATCCTGGACTTCTGTGTCGATCAGATGTGAGTTCGATCTACTGTCCTTTTTTTCCTTGACTTGTACTTGGCTGACTATACCCATGACCACGGCCTGGACCTGGACCTCTACCGCGCCCTTGCAATGGTTCGTTGGACTGTCCGCGACTTGCTTTCCATGGTTTTCCGCGTCCTTTACTGTAACTGGAGCTTGATGTTGCATCTCTACATGCCCTCTTCAGATGCCCTACTTTCCTGCAACTATAAGAGGTCGTCTGCCGGTGGGGACAAGTAGCTGGTTGATGGAAACCTAAACATCGGTAACATTTGCTCTCCTGCTGGGGGCCCTAGGTTGAGATCTTTCTAGACCATGCACTTCTGCTGAACGCTGACTGCTGCTTGACCCTTGCTGTAGTTTTAAACTATCTACATATGCCAGCTCCATCGCAATTGCTGCGTCAACTTCAACTTTCCAGATCAGCTCATTTCCTTTGGCCAGGAGCTTTGCCTGCACCTTGTTATTTCGCAGACCTGCTACGAAAGTGTCTCGAAGGTTGGTATCCAGATGCTCACCATACCCACAATGCCTTGCCAGCTTTTTCAGTTCAAGGATGTACTTTGTTATCAAGTCCTTTGCCCCTTGACGACATTGTCGGAACGTCAATTGGAGTGCAATCTGGTTTTTACTGGAACCATAATAAGTATCCAATACCTAATTCAATTCTTTGACAGTTTTGGTGCTTGGGTCGTCTGGACAAAAATGGTAAGACACCGTTTCGAACGCCTCAGGCCCAACTATGGCTAAGAAGACAATTACTTCGTCCCCTTCTGGTATCTTATTGTTTTTTTTTCCATATCGGGAATCTTCTAACATAGTTTCCATATTCTTCTCTTTTGGGAAAATATTCCCCAATCTGGCCAATGATTCCCGGCCCCACTGCATTCGCCATACCGCACTGCAGATCATTCACGCATGGTCATAGTCATACAGTACACGTGCAGGATTTTGTCTCACCACAATCGTTGAGTCGTAATCGAATGAAATGTAGGTTTCTACTACCCACGAGAACCGCAATAAGCTGTCCTTTCGATCCTGACGTCGGACTCCCTGAATCCCATCCTCGTCGCCAATGTGGTGTATTGAGACACGAAATGACGAAGCAGCTACACTCTGATATCGGCCATATTGAAGACAGTCTTTATTATCCAACAACAGATGGCAGTATAACAGTTGGCGAGGTGGTATAACACCATGTACACTACCCAACCCTTGTAATAATTTGATTTGTATGAAAGAAGAAAAATAACAAAAACAGAATGGCAAAAGTTTAAAATGAATTGGACCAATAGTAAGGAAGTAATATGAATGTTTGAAATATGAGATCACTAAGTCTGTGCGAATCTCATATTGGTATTTCGGTTCCTGTCCCTTGGGGCACTACTCTTAATATATTTTAGATATATTATTATAGGTCCTCTAAAAACAAAAGACCCTCTTGAGCAACGAATTTGTTGAAAACATTTAGATTTTTAGTCACGTTGTATGTTGCAACAGATGGGAAAAGGGTCCGGCACTACATCACATTGAAATTACCGCTTCAGCCAGTTTAAAGTGGCCATACTAATAGAGTGATATCAATCAACTCTCAAAAATTCCTAACTTTCTTATATTCAGTCAGATTTATTTTAAACTTTCATCAATTTGCTTCTCTGATTTTTTTGCTTTCTTTTAGAGTAGTAGTCTATTTGCGTCGGATTTCCCTTTAACTTCACATTCCTCAATTGAAATTCCACGTTGATCTTCCTAAATCATTACATTTTATCTGTTTAATTAGAATATCCATATACGCAGCAAAGTACAAGGTACAGGGTTTCATCATAAATGCGTGGATAAATGGTGTCTAGACTTTAAAGACTAAACGGCATCTATCCCCTTATTTTGCTGTGTATAGACATTCGCAAAGCAAAGCTCAAGGTTAAGGATTCTATCATAAATGCAGGGATAAAAGCTGTTTAGTGTCATTTGATCGTGATCCAGGTCCAGATTCAGTGTAGACTTTACTGTCAGATCTAGACTAAATATAGTCTAGTCTAGATCTTATAATAAAGTGAAGGCTATTATAGCCGCGCCAGCTCAGGAAACGCAGTCACTTCTTGTTGTTTCTTACACCCGGCTAGAATCGGCAAAATGAAAATCACAATCCGCTTGAAAAGATCCCGTCGGCCTCGAATCGGAATGAGATATTTGCGCAGTCTGTGTAACACTGATTATTGTCGATAATCAACCTACGAAGTACGAATTGAAACCTTAAAAGTACGAAAGGTGTCCAAATGAATTATCTAGGGTAAACCTGATTTTTTAAAGATAATTTAACGTCGACGAATTAAATGAGAGTTCATTCAATGAGTTAATTTTATTTGGTCAGTCAAAAGAAAAGGGGATGGGATAGGTCCGATAGGGGTTTGTGACAATGCATAGAGCACACTGACTGCAAGTGGAACGACGAGAACATCACAATCATTACAGAGATTATCACTAAAAAATGGATTTTTTACTTACTTTTCTTGGTATCATATAGTATCACTTTGATGTAGATGTTCCCCTGAAAATGTTCTGCTTCACTGAGATTTACTAGACAAACTTCTATTGGAATAGGAATTCACTTGAGAGAAAAATATTTACCGTTCGCGTTTGAATAGCTTAAAAGTTGCACAGATCATACAATCGACAATACTTTCAGATTATTGTGAAGTGTCGTAGGGAATTGTGGGAAGGAAAAAAATGTTTTAAGAATGGTCTAATACATAAAACCTTTTATTAAAAGCCAATCACCAACATTGTTGACGTCATTGCTCATGAATAAGCATTTACCCTCCAAAATTAAAGTTCAATTTGGACGAAGCATCCAATGCAAAACCCATAGCATGTCAAAGGTCACAGGTTTAGTTGTCCCTCTAGTCCTTCTTCGGAGGACATACTTGATCGAATCTCTTTGTATTGTGCCCATAACCGACCTCTCTTCACATAAACCTGTACTTTGGCCAACTCGGTTTAAGTAGAATGGCGTGTATTCTTCTGTTTTTTGCTTGCCCAACAAAGTGTTATTCACTTCTTTGGGAATGTGCATGGACTATAAATAAGAGTAACCAATTAATCAACTTAACCTGGTCTGGTAAACAATGTAAGGTCTATTTAAATGGCTCTCAATTAATGTGTCCAATGGGTTTTTCTCGCGGCGTCCACCCCAAAAAAGTTGTTTGAAGGACCAGCATTTAGATTAAACTAGATGGACCTACGACTGCGCGCAGTCGAAATTGATGCCTCCGCCATGAAGCAATTTTACAAACCAAACAGAAGCAATTTTTAAAATTCAAGTTTGATTTGAATCAATTAAAAGGTTCTCAGAATATTGTGATTACAAGCTATTTTTCATATACATGTTTGACCCTTTGATCTTTGACCTATTGACCCTAAAATCTAATGCTTCATTGGCTCTGCACGATACATTCATGTCTTGGGTTTGATAGGAATCCATCCGTCAGTTCTATTAATAAATTTTCACAAGCTATTTCTGCATACATAATGAGCCCCATGACCTTTGAACTTTGACCTCATGACCCCAAAATCTAATCAGTTCATTGGTTCAGCAAGATACATACCTGTCTTGATTATTATGGTAATCCGTCTACCGGTTCTAATGATAGTGTAATCACAAACTTTTTGCATACATAAGCCCTGTGACCTTTGACATTTGACCTCATGGCCCCAAAATCTAATCAGATCGTTGGCTATCAAGATACATGACCCAAGTTTGGAGGGAATCCATCAATCCGTCCTTGAGATAAACGTGATCACAAGCTTTTTTTTGCATACATAATGAGCCCTGTGCCATTTGGCCTTGGATCTCGCGACCCCAAAATCTAATCAGTCCATTGGCTCTGCAAGATACTTACATGACCCAGGTTTGGCGGGAATCCATCAATTGGTTCTTGAGATAACACGATCACGAAAACGGGACGTACGGAAGGACGGACGGACAACCCGTGCGCTACTTTGTAGCGGAGGCATAAAAATGCGCAAACCATCTGTAAGGCATTTGGCTTCTCGACGCCATTGTTATTCAAGAGCGCATCAATAACATCCATGGGGTCATTTATTTATGTACAATCGTGTGTATCAGCGGGGTAGATCATAAATGAGTAGGGGAAACGAATTAAAATTAAATAAACATTTCATTTTCAAATTGGGAAACACAAAATTGCTCGCAGATTAATAGTTGAAGAGTCCGTTAATCAAACCAGCGAATGTAAGTAGATTAAGACAAGCTTCCATTAACTTGGTTAAAACACTATAGTGTAGCAGTGTATTCGCAGCTCACACTTAGGCTCGTTCCCCTGCGTGCCATTAATAGTTGATTCACAATCATTTGTAGACATTTTAACTGTTTCCTCAGAAAGTTTGTCATAAACACAGGGATACAATAACAAAAAAGTAAAACATTGACAACGCTGGATTTTCAAGCTCAAAAAGTTTATTAACAAAACAGCGTAGAAAACCTAAAATATGGACTACTCTTTATTCAAATATGACATACATATAAAAGACATTATATTATATCATTCTTAGCCTATATTACAAACACCTTATTAAGCTAGTTATACACTAATTACACACCCTACAGTAGCCATACTATACATAGGACTATAGGTTAGATTTTTATACTAAAACAATATAGTTTTGTCAAAACCATTGATGAAGATGTAACTTACGTCGAAATTGTGTGACCTAAGAAAAACTGTTTGATTTAAAGCATGGATCTTCTAATCTTTATTATTTATTGCGTCATCTAATGTCAATTATCAGGTATGTTCTATAGGGTATTAAATATGGGCCTTCATTAAAGATAAACTTGAGTACTGGTAATGCGTTGCATTGTGAAAGAAAAGGTGTGGAATGGATCAGAAAAATTGATCATATAGCATGTAAGTAATGGTGTGTAATGCAAGGTTCTAGAGTCATCAAAATCATCATAAATTTGGCAGAGTCTTGGTAAAGTAACAATCACTTACACAGATAGATGTATATGGGACAACACACATGGTGTCGGGGATAGTACTACCCTGATTTCCTTATCTTTCTATGCTCATTACTCAGCCAGTATACATTTTCTTCCAAAATTGTTTGGCACATGACATTTATTTGTAATCTTGAACATTCAGTGTAAGTTTCGTTAGATTCTGTGAGAATTCATTTTATTTTTTTACCAGAACTCAAGTTTATCTTTAACATCATTAACAAAACTATTGCAGTCAGTATTCATCTATGTACATGTATTTACGTAACAAGCATACAATGAAGAAAAAACTAACCCTAACCCTTGTCCTTTAAAGGTACTAAGTCCCTTTTGCAGCCAACCTCAAATGCTGTAGAACTTTGCAGGAATTATGAATATTTCATGTATGTCCTATCTGTGAAAGTGGGGTTAGCAGTGTCATAATATTCAAATTATGCAAGGAAACCCGTTTACTTGCTAGACTTCACTGTCAGACACTATTGAGTGACTGACGGGCTTTTTTCTTCTTTGGTAATAACATACATAAAATGAGCTGTAAAGGGTACATGAGCATGTGTCTACATCAATAACCCACTTCTTGTGATGGCCAAAATTAAACTGATTGCATCTTTACGCAGCATAAAACGTATGACCATTCGGTACAATAGTCTGAAAATCAATTAATGGCTCTATAGCTCCTAAGTCGATTTGACACCTAATAGTCGTTATTTTCCCACTTGAAGACATTTTCAAGCCCCACTTTTTTAGGGAAGTTCTAAATTTGTATTATCTTTCAAATGCCGTTGGAATTTAACCTTTTCATTTTTTTGGCCTGCAAATGGGACATAGTACCTTTAATGTGTGTAACAGTGTCTACACTTTGAGACTGGGCTGATACCATACTACATAGGCCCTGTACTTAATCTGCTCCGGGCACAGTCAGAGACTGACAGAGCTAGGTTCTGCTCAAGACTTTGGTAGTTGTGGTCAAAGTAAAATTAAAGTCTGTACTAACGGACTACTAAACTCTTTGCCATTTAAACCTAAGTACGGTAACATCTAAACTCTACTGTTCACTCTTTTTTGCAATTTTAACATGAACATTAAGCTTTAAACATATTCTGGACACATAGAAACTTGATAAAAAGTATTTGCAAAAAAAGTCACAAAGACTATTATGACAACTGTCAACTAACAAAACTATTGCAGTCAGTATTCATATATGTACATGTATTTACGAAACAAGCATAAAATGAAGAAAAAAACTAACCCTAACCCCATATTTAGTTGAGAACGGGGTCAGGGAAAGTGTAGTGAATATGGGTGCTGATCATGCATGTGTAATGTATGTTGCAGGTAAGCCTCTTTTTTCACCATTTTGATACCAGCCTCATTATCTATTATTCCAAGAGCTATTTATACTGTGTACCATTATACCACAGAGTCAACATAAATTTGAGAATGATACAAACTCTCGGTTCAACGAAACTTTTAAAAAAGAAGATATTTACAAATATATGTCTTCGTAAGAGAAATAGAAAGCATGTCTATTGAATGCGTATACAGCATGCAATAGAAGTAGTAACCAATACTGCCTATATCAATCTACATGTAAGACTGATTGGTGTTATATAAATTCGGCATATGAAACAAACATTGCTATACACAGAACAGATTGACAGTCAAAATTAAACCATCATCTATTTTGCTTCGGAAGCATTTTTTCTACAGATATACAAATTATAAATGTTCGTAAAAGTGAACCAAAACAAAAGGTCAGTTTGATTCATAGCGATGTACAGTCAAAAGAAAGGTTCCACAAGCACTACTTCAGATCTACGTATACTGCCAATCTTCTGCTCATTATGCTCACCATTCATCACAAATAGACCATTTTCATAATGTAAAGTTGAAGGCCCTGTTATAAATCTATTTCCTTCACCTGTTACAATTAATAATTTTTCAATTTTCAGAATACGAATTGCGTATTAAAGTAATTGATCCTAGGTAGGGAAAACATTATGGCTTGTCCAACCGAACAACGCGTATTTTATGTAATTTGTCTTCTTTTGAAATACAATTATTGACAGTGTCAATTTTTAGAGAGCAGTTGTAGGCCTATTATTCACATAATATGGTGGATGATTAATAGGAAATTAATAGGAAATTCAGGAAAATGAGGGTTTTGTTTTGTCTTCTTTAAAACCCTTTCCCCGTACGTTTAAAGTCTCGATCAGACATGATGCGGCAAAATTGTTGCGTTTTTTTCCCCCTTAAGATTACGTAAAGTGTAATTCGCCGCAAATTTCTTTATCTTATAACACAGATCTCAGTGAATACGCGCAAGTCCCTTGTTACGCGCAGTTGCTATTCATTTACATTAACATTTTGTGCAACGGTTAACGGCGCCATATCTGAACAATAAAGTCCTAACAATGATTTTAACATCAGCCTCTAGATGGGCCCGATTTTTTTTCATGAAACTGTCATTAAAACAAGATCGCCTAAAACCCATTGAAACGCGTGAATTGAATTTAACACGTGTTTCAAAGGGATGTCTGTAAACTTGTAGTCATGACAGTTTTACAAAAAGATGCCCAGAAGAATGATATTTTTCACTTTGCTATGGTTAAACCACATCACTGGCCTTTCCTCGACCTTCACGAAGTTCTTGGTATTGCGAGATGACGCAGATTAGACACGTGATCTGAAAAAGAGAGATAAAATATGATAATTATATTTTTGTGTAAAGCAACATGAGAACTGTCTGGAAGCAAAAAACTACACTATTAATACAACTTTATAGTTAATATACGTATACGTATTTACTTTCATTTTTGATGTTTGATGGCGATGTTCTGTTGAATAACGCTATATTACTTTTTCAGTTAAATGACTTATGGTTAGTGTATAAAATGAGAAATATTATTCGTTGCATCATACGATTTAGTCTAGAAACCATAAGAGTTATGGAGTTAAAAATAGAAAGATTTTTTTTCCTACACATCAATTACGTTTAGTCTTATACATTTATTCTGGACACTGATAGAGAAGTTACACAAACTTAAAGGTAGACATAGTATTTGAGAAGCTTCCTCTTTCCTATTATTTCCATGTGAAAAAAAAACATATACTAGCGATGCCACCGTAAAAGAATTGCTCCTGAGGGCAACAAGTTTTATGGTATCCGTGTCGATGTAAAGTCATTCTCTATTATTCATCAGCAAGGTGTGTTTTTTTTTCTTCATGTGTAGTCCTTTCGATTCAAGAACCTCATAAAATTGTCCCTATATTGTCATCAGTATCCTGTTATAACTTATTGATAGTATCTTTAACGGAGAATTGACATAACAAGCACATGCTAGAGCATTATCTTGCACATTAACGCTTTATAAGCCACACATATTATCTACCTGTGCTATATAGTAATTATGATGGGATAGGTATACTAAACAATACAAGTTTGATTGCTTCCGGGGCAAGATTATTCCATAACGGGTAATCTATAAGGTTTGCCTTGGATTTAATCAGGTCTGGGCGTTGGTAACTTTGTAAATCCATTGCGTTGCACAAAGCAATCCTTCCGCCTATTGTTTTGTGCATAATTGCACGTGTGTCAAAGAGCAGCCGTGCAGAGAGGCACAGAAAACAAGCGAACTGTTTAAATACTTACGTTGAGGGCAGTAAATAGGAGCCAGAAGACAACGTTCACGATCAGTGCAATAGATGCGGCTCCCTTTTAAAAAAAAAAAGCATATAGAATATACAGTCATATAATTTTGTTAAACTAAAGTTTATGAATTTAACCTTCGGCGACAGAATTTTAGAAAATATAATAAGTAGACGATTTTAGTAACAAGAGACTGTACATTTGTTGTGTCTCAAAAAGTTTGAAAGAAAGAATCACAATTAAGTTCTAATATATTTAGAATCTCTTTGATATAGGCATACATAATTCATGTAGCGGTTATTATTTTCAACGGAAACTATCGTTTATGGAATTAACTTGTTAACGAAAACCTTATATTTCATGTTTTGAATATTTAAAGTAAACCACCTTGTTTGTAATATAACTTCTTTGTAGTAAAAGTTATGCGTCATCCTCTTCATATTTAAAGTCTTCGCAACGAAATTCAGGAATCACGATTAATGTCAATTGGAACCAAGGAGATAGAAGAGGCTTCCACCTTGCTTTGGAGGGGATAGGGGGGGGGGTAAACAAATCGAATATAGAGATAGAACATTTCCTGTGCATGTGAGCAGTCAATAAATTATAAACACACTGTAAAAATAATAAGAATCGGATCCCACAGTGTCCCCAACCTGTTGAGGTACGCCCCTTCCCATTGGATACACCATCGGATAAGATCACTTACGTAGAGGACGAAGAGGATAATCCATGCAATGGCCTGTAATACCATAAGAGCCATGACCGCCACCATGTAAGGAATCAGCATCGTCCCGTTGTCCTGCAAAATGAATAGGAATTCAAGAATTAATTAACTCAACGAAATCCTTTTTTAAGATTTGATAAATGATTGCAAATGCAGTAGACTGAAGGCTGTTTACGGAATACAACCCGAGAAAGACAATTGCAAATAAAGGTAGGAGCATGAACCTACTACAAATGGACACTGATCGGTACCATAATACATTCAGCACCTAAATCTAGTCCGGCAGCTATCTCGATATACCTTGTTTTAGGGTGTATAGTTTGTTTGTTTTTTTTGTTTTTTGGGGGGGGATTATAGTTCCTTAGACCATCAATTTGAAGAATCCGATTGCTGACACTCTGTCAGCATTGAGCAATTTGAGATATGTGACGTCATACAAAATGGCCGCCAAAATCCCCTTTTTAACCAAAATTAATGATATAAAAAGTTCTAACAGCATTTTACTACATTAAATGGCTGTCAAATATCTTGATTTTTTTCAAGAATCATCACTAAATAAAAATTGCGATGTTGTATGATCACAAATGATATGTAAATTTGCATAATTCGGAATGGCGCCCTCTATAGACACATTAACTTGCATAGTTCAAAATGATGGCCAAATACCAATTTCTAACATGAGATTATCATATGTTAATAAGTCAGATGCACTGGATACAATGAGTAAAAAATTGTGTTGCACATTTATTTTTATTTTGTAATTTAATACTCCAAAAAAAAAAAATTGTGCTGTCTGTCCCATAGATATGAGGTGGCATATGGTGATAAATAACCGTTTTCAGTGACAGCGTTAAAAAACTAGATTCTTTTTATATGAACCTAAAAATTACGAACTACCAATACGATACAGGACTATATCCGTTTATAAGTTTGCTTCAAAATCTTGAAGTTTGTTTAAAAGCCCTTTAAAGTGTTGGGAACCCTCAAATATTCCATGCGGAAGAGGGTGTCATTTAACACTTAATTCTGCAAATATAGTCAAAACAAATGTGTTCGAAGTGAGGTCGTGACTGTAAGGCGTGCTTCCACACACATGTTTGCAAATGAGCTCTCTTAACATTTTCTACAAACGCTTCGATAGTTTGAGGTAGTGAGGCAAGGTTTGGGGTATAGCCACACGTTGATACGAGCCTCTGACATTGAGCTGGTTGTTAACTGTCCATAGCATGAAGCAAAGCATTGAGTAGGTTGAGTGATGACATGACCATGCTGCATCAACATTGCCAACTGAGTCCTAAGGGAGTCGAATCTTCTGCTTCATCACTTTCAGCATTGTACCCTATCCAATGCCAAAGTATGCCCCAAGAGTGTCGCATGTCCTGCCAACATCGATGGAATGATATCTCCTAACTTGTCTACAATGACAGGAACATCAATAACAGTTCAATATGTGATGGGCATCTTCATGGTCATTTGCGTTTTATAAGTCCGTCATGCAAAAGTAGTACGTAGACGTCGGTGTCATCCACTAGGACCCTAACATACCTCTTCTCATTAGCAGCAACTCGAATCGCTTGCTTGTTGCCTGCTTCTTCATAATTATGTTGTGGACAGACCTTTCCTTGGCATGACATCACTGCCTGGAATAACTTCAACAGGAACCTCATCTTGACGGTAATGACCAGCTTGTGCTTTTGCCTATTTCTGAACACCCAATCATCCTGCAGACTCACGCATATATGATGTCGATCAACTGTTGTTTGTTGTCATGAAAATATAGTGAAGTAAGCAACACTAGAGACATGTTTAAACACATCAAGTCACTGATCAAGAAACCTACACCCAAACTTATATGCCTTGGAGGGTGAAAATGGGAACATTTGAACAGAGGATGAAGATATAAAGGCAAGGTGGAAAAAGTGATATTGTGTAAAACCGTAGACTGCAAAAGAAACTGAAGAAGTTGATACTCATGAAGGAGTAAGTGTCAAGGACGAGCCCATGCTTGAACCTGGCATCTTACAAAATGGAGCGAAAGAAGCAATAAATCATCTGAGACCTGGGAAAGCACCTGGTATTGAAAATTCCCTGTGAAGCTTTTCAAAGAGAGTGGAGAGGAGGGCGTAAAGCTCATGCCAAAGATGTGTAACAAAATATGGAAACAGAGAATATGGCCACAAGACTGAAATAGAGCTGTTTTTCTCCCACTCCCAAAGAAAGGTGTTACAAATGAATGTGCCAACACCCGCACTATTTCTATTATTCCGCATGCCAGTAAGATTCTTCTTCACTTAATTGCTGAAAGAATTAGAAACAAACAGTGTTCAGAAAAGAAAGAGAGACAAGAAACAAAATTGGCAATCTCAACAATTTGATGGAAAAAAGCAGAGAATTTCAACAACTTCTCTCCCTAGCTTTATTCATCATTCCAAAGCTTTTGACTGCGTGCAACATAAACTCCTATGGAAGATTATGAGCTAGATGGGCTTTCCAGCACATATTATTCGACTCATCCAGTTCATCCGCTCTACAAAGACCAAGAAGCAACAGTAAGAACAGAGAATGGCTACACCGAAAGGTTCACTATTGGTCAAGTTGTCCGTCAAGGCTGCATCCTATCACCATAACTTTTCAACATCTATGCTGAATTCATCATGAGAAAGGCTTTCTATGGTCAAGTTTCTGTTGGTGGACGCCGACAATACAACACTCCCTGGCGTACTGATGGGGGAGGGGGCACTTTTTGTATAAAGTATATTAAAGAGAACTAGAAAGAAAGAAAGTGACCCGAGGTGAAATGAGGTATCAAAATATGCTCATGTGACATTTATTAAATGCCTAAAACCCCTGAGCTTCCGGGGGCTGTGCCTCTTGAACCCCACCTAGGGCCCTAAGGCAGGCCCCTGCATGGATGCTCATTTGACAATTATTAGCTGCCTACAACCCCCGAGCTTCCGGGGGCCATGCCCCCTGGACACCACGCCAATTTTCGCTCCTCTCTTCCTGATCGTAAATACTTTAGCCCCCCCCCCCCCCACCCCCGCTTTAAAAAAACGTTCCGCGGGGCCTGCATGTAACACGTAACATTAATGAGTGGTGGTGATGCAGATTGTTTTTTCTGCCCCTCTCAGTGTTTTTGCTCATTATGCCACTGACAACACTTATAACAAGACCATCCGAAGAACTACTCGAACTTGAAGGATGTAAGTAAATTATTTGGACCCTGCCTCAATGTGAAAAAGACCAAGATCATGATTGGTAGAAATTAACTACATGCAACAGAGCATGGTGGTTGATGGAGAAGAAGTTGATCAAGTGGACAAGTTTATATAATGTTCTTGGGTCAATGATTGTCGAGGAGAGTGGAAGCTCGGTAGATATCAAGAGAAAACTGGCCATGGCTAAAACATCGGCCACATCACTGTCACATATCTGGAAGGACAGGAACTACACCTTGGCCACGAAGATCCGTGAAATGAAGGCATTGTTTTTCCAAGTAGGAACTCTATGGCTGCGAGACATGGGCATTAGGAAAGGCAGACAGGGGAGCAATATCTGCCTTTGAAATGTGGTGTTGGAGGAAGCTACCTGGGATATCATGAAGAGATTACATCACCAATGGACACAATTAATGTCCATCATCGGAGATCAACCGCCACTTGCTACCAGGATTGACAAGTACAAGCTACAATGGTAACGTTATGGTCACGTTAGCAGAAGATCAGAAGACAACCTTGACAAACTATCATTCAAGGTACCTTCGAAGGAACACGTAACAAAGAAAGACTCAAGCTCAGATGGAGTGACGACCTTAGGGAAATCACTGGCAACACTCTACATACTAAATACACTCTACCGGATTGCAGGAGACAGATGCCGATCGAAAGGTCTCATCAAACGGGTCACAAGGGTGAGCAATGATCTATATGACAACGACGACGACGACGAACAGTGAGAGATAGTTTCTTGGAGGACAGCAGTGACGCGAGACTTAAATAGAAGACTCTTGAACCTTTATGACCTCTAGATACTCTTGGATCTGTCAAACACCAAGCAAACATCATCAGATTTTCAACCACAGTAGAGCACAACCCTCAATGACTGTACAAGGTTGTTCCAGTGTCTCATGCCTGGCTGACATCTCAACTTTTGTCAAATTCTATAAGTCCGCCTTTGACATGGGAGTGCTCGTTTCCAGAATCATCAAAAAGTGCTGTTGGGACTGGTGAAATTAAGCTCTTATGACAAAATGTCCTTGACATTGACCTCTCTTGAACTTGCCTGCAGTCCTATTACTCTGTAGTAGATCAACTTTTCATAGACTTTCGTACCCCAACATTAATTGACTTCTTCATGGCGGCCATGGTTTGAACTTTCTTGGAACTTGTGTCATAGAATCCACCAGGAAATTTCTTTTGAAACTCATGCATCTGTCTAGTACAGATGTCAACTGCTTTATCCACATTCACTGACGTTGGAGCAATGCTGGTCTAAACAAAGCCTATCAAATTAATAATAATGTGTGCCGTAAAACCACTTCTCACCGATTTGATGAAAAATGAATTCTTTGATAGCCATTTTTGTTTCTTGACATATGTAGGGTAGGTGTAGGGAATTGGAGACCGTAGGGAATTGGAGACCACCAAGCTTGAACCCATCACTGTCTGTCCGTGTTGGCTCCAATATTGCTATAGCATTATGTGGCCTTTAACAACACTACTGCATAATTTATATCCAATTCATTTCGAAGACTACAATGCGTTCTCTCTCCGAGAAAATTGGCAAAATTGACCAAGATAAGCAATTTTGATCGTAAAATTTTGCTTTTTTTTTGGTCAATTACGTTCACCTGGTTGGAGAATGGCAAATGTAGATTGGTGCTTGTCAAAGGACACAATTGCCAAGACAGTTCCTTCTTACTTATTCACCAATAATCTATCTCTTTCTCTCCTCCTCTGTCTCCTCCACAATGTCCGCCACTCTAACCACGGATGTTAGAACCATGCTCTAACACTCTCCCTCCCATGCTTCCCTCTTTTCTCTTTCTCTCTCACTCTTTCTCCGTCTCTCTTTCTTTCTCTTTCTCTCTCTCTCTCTCTCTCTCTCTTTAGCTCTTTCATTGTCCCTATATTAACTCATCCATCGGACTTACCTGGGATACGCCCACTATGAGAACAATGGATGCGATGAGAAGAAAAACAGCGACGATAATATCAATACTGTATGCTGCATAGATCCCATCTACAGCCGGTCCTTTATAGAATTATCACAAAAGAAAATAAGTAAGAAGAAATACGATAATCATTAACATGAGGAAGGTCCGTCTCTAACCCTTTCGAGACAGTAAAATTTGAAGGGCTAACGTGATCATTATTTCTTCTTCTAATTTGCAAAAACTTACTATGAAACCGTAAAGATTGAATGCTTGTCTCGAAAGGGTTACATTTGAAGAATAGTGAATAAGATGTATCTATGGTATAACGTATCTATAGCAGGGGACACCCCTGTAGAGTGTGGACCGACATCCATGGAGACTGACAGCTCACGGAGCGATATCGACGGTCTAGTTACTCTAGTAGACCCTTAGAAGAGTTGTCAAAGGTCCACGAGACCGAATATCAATCTCGTAGGCTGTTGGTTTCGTGACCACTGTTATAAAAAAGAATACCATAATGTTCAATCTACCCTCTGTCGTGTGAACAATTTAAACCAACTAACTTACTGAATTCGACTGAAAACTTCACAGCAGTTTATTATTTTATAGAGTGATATGCCCAATCAAGACATATGAAATGGAGTTCGGTGGAATCTCTTAGTTTCTTTTAACTTTCTCTCGTTCGTTATATCACACAATGCCTAACACACTGATTCAAGTACCTAATAAGTGTAATTTTTGTTTTACTTTCTAAAAGGTGCCCCTTCTCCTATCTCATAAGTGCCCCTTTTCACTTCTTATAAGTGCCCTAATTTAAATCTGAAAGGTGCCCCTTTTACTTTGACAAGTGCCCCGTTTCCTTTGTATTAAATGTCTCGTTCCCTTTTGTGAGTGAGAGAGTGAACTGGGTGTATTACCTGTATAACCGCTGAAGATGCTTACGGCCTGAGCCAAGTTCCAGGACCATACCGCTAAATAGATGCAGCTGGTAATCTGTGATTGAATAAATAGAAACATGAAGAATGTAAAGTTCGGGAATCATCTGCTTTATTCCCGAGTAAAACAACCAATGAGGAAATAGATATAAAAATAACAAATGGTAAACAACATGTATAGGCCAATGTAACACGGACCCGGAGTGTTTTTACATACTATATATTAGATATTTCAAACGGAGCAAATTAGCTAATTTGTTGGCATATGTTCATTCGAGGACATGTATATATTCCTCCGTAGATCATTTCAGTTACTTCTTACAGTCAAGTGCTGCAATGTTATCAGGTGTGGTCAGGAGCGGATCCAGCCGGCGGCAGGCGAGGGGGCCAAAGAGCGGGCCCCATTAGTGAGACAATATTTTAGCGGCAAAACAGCCAGCCGGTGAATAAGCGGGGGGGGGCTAAGGAGCACTAATTTTGTTTCGGGGGCCATCGAAAATTTGAAAAATCGCACCTCCTTTGAGCGCCAGGGGCGGGGGCCCATCTAAAACAAAAGGTAAAATTAAAGTGTTTTTAACTGTATTTTTACCCAGGGGAGGGGCCCTGGCCCCCGTCCCTCTGGATCCGCCACAGAGTGTGGTCTCAGCAAGGCGCGGTGTGACTTTTGCGGTATTTCAAATATTATTCTAAAAATGAGACTCAGTGTAAAGGCAGAGTAAATCACCAACATCGCTACCACTGCCGGCACCACTGCTGTAATTTATTTTTTAGCTCATCCGGCCCGCAGGGCCCGATGAGCTTATGCCATGGCGTGGCGTCCATCGTCCGTCCGTCCGTCCACAGTTTTCAAAATGCTTCTTCTTCGTTATTTTTCAACCGATTTTGATTCTGACTGTTTCATTTGATAGGGTTAGGAGGGGATTTAAAACTTCTACACAGAATCGTGAAATTCATTATCTATGGTAATTTATGCAAATTTATTCAAAAAATAACAAAAATTACTTTTTCTCCCTCATTTCTTGACCGATTTTGATTTGGTTTGCCTTATCTGGTAGAGCTAAATTTGGAACCCTAAACTTCTACACAGAATTTTGAGATTTTGCTCCATTGATTATTTTTGGTACTTTATGCAAATCTGTTCCAAAAATAATAAAAAAATTACAAAAAATGCTTCTTCTCCTTCATATTTTGACCGATTTTGATTGATTTGCTTTATATTATAGAGCTAACTTTGGTACACTAAAACCTCTACACAGAATTTTGAAATTTTTCTCCATTAATTAATTATGGTAATTTATGCATTTTTTTTCCAGAAAAAACAAAAATTGCTTCTTCTCCCTCATTTCTTGACCGATTTTGATTTGGTTTGCTTTATCTGGTAGACCTTTATTTGGTTTACTAAATGAAATTGTGTCCCTTCCAGAGCATCAAAGTTTTATTTTTTGACCAGTTCAAAAGTGTACCACATAAAATGTACGATATTTGTTGTTGCGAGATGCGGATGAGCGCTATGTCATTGACGTTCTGGTTGATTACGCCATCTTTCGGTGCAGACGTAGACCGAATTAGAGGCGGCGCTCCCGGGGGATGGGGGGGGGGCACAGTGCCCCAAATTTTCAAGTACCCCGAAAGGGCCCCTTTTACTTTGATAAGTGCCCCTATTAATTTTTAAAAGTGCCCCTTCCCCTTTCCACCTCTGATAAGTGCCCCTTTTATTTTGACACGTACCCCTTTTCCTTTGACAAGTTCACATTTTCCTTTGCAATAAGTGTCCGGTTTCCATTTTTAAAATTCTAGTAAGTTCCCCTTTTCAGGTACAAGAAGCACCTCTTTTAACTTTTGATAAGCGCCCCTTCCCCTCTAATACTTGACCTATTAAAATCTGAGAGGTTCCCCTTTTGCTTTGACAAGTTCTCCTTTTACTTTGTAAAAAGTGTCCCTTCCCCTTTTAATAACTACCCCTTTTTAACTTGGATAACCGCACCTTATATTTTCACATGTGCCCCTTCCTTTTAATAAGTGCCTCCTTTTCCTTATAAGTGCCCCCATTTAAAAAAGTGTCCCTTTCTTTTCTCCAAGGACCCTTTTCTTCTATGAAAATAGTTCCCTTTCATTCTCATAAGTGCCTCTTTAAATCTCTTGAAAATGACCCTATTCCATTCTGAGAGATACTCGTTTTACTTTGACAAGTGCCCCCTCCCCTCCTGATAAGTGCTTTTTTAATCTTATATAAATGCCCCTTTTGTTTTGACACGTCCCCCTTGTCCTTCCTAATAAATGCTCTTGTTCCTTCTTATAAGTGCCCCTTCTCATAATTACCCCCATTTTCATCTTCGATTAGTGCCCCGTTTATTATAACATGTGCCTCTTTTTCGTTTTAATAAGAGCCACTTCCCCCTTCTCATAAAAGCCTCTTTCACCTCCGATAAATGCCCCTATTAAAATCTGATCGGTGCCCCTTTTCTGTCAACAAATGCACATTCGCCTTTATCATAAGTGCCCCTTTTTCATTTTCATAAGTGTCCAATTTCACCTCTGATAATTACCCTTTTAAACATGATATGTGCCCCTTTTTCCTTTCAAATAAGGAACCTATCCCTTTTTCATAAATGCCCCTTTTCACTTCTTTTAAATGCCCCTATCAAAATCTGACCGGTGCCTTATTTCCGTCGACAAATGCCCATTTCCCATTCTTATAAAATCCCTTTTCTATCCTGGTGCGTGCCTCTTTTTTAGGTGTAAGAAGTGCCCCATTTTCACCTCTGATAATTAGCCTTTGTACTTTGACACGTGCTCCTTTTCTTTTCTTATACGTGTCTTAACCCTTTCGAAAAGTGTCTCCTTTTCCTCTCATCATTAAACGTGCCCCTAATTTCAAGCGACTAAGAGCAATTCCCCCAAAGCTCGCTCGCTACGCTCGATCGTAGTTATAGCCTAGATGTTATCATTATGTTACTTATCAAAGGTCTTTTTTATTCCGTTATGAGAATGTGCTTATAACCCTATCAGGATTGGGTTTTCCTCTTGATAAGATGTTATTTTTCGCACTGCGACCTCACAAATCTTAAAAAATTTTCTCGCTCGCAAATGAATTTTCAGACCATCATACCCAACTGTAAAGTATGATGCTTAAGCAATATCTTATATGATGTAAACAGAGAAACAAATATTGAAATCATCCCTGATAACGTAATCACAATATAAGGGTATATAGTATGCCAATATCTAAAATATTGTATATTTTCGCTTTGAAGATTTCTCTTTGAAGATGCCCTATTTTCCAGAAAGTGTTTTTTTTTTGGTGACCCCCCTGTTACACCCACAAATGTAATAACGCCCACAAATGTAATAACACTTTACCCACAAATGTAATAATTTTCACCCACAAATGTAATAATGACTTTACCCACAAATGTAATAAATTTGAAAGGATATTTTGTCGAATTTGTTCAAAACTAAAACCCTGTAATAAAGGTTGGGTATAGCGCGCAGTCTTTACTCCAGACCCGGTTATTTCAAAAATTTAAAAAATCTTCAAAATTAAGACCCCATAATCCTTTTCCTGTGGAATAACATAAGAATCGAGCGTAGTCTTTCTTCCAGACCCGGTTATTCAAAAGTAAAAAAAACGAAAAAGTGCCAAGTGAAAATGTGATGTGCATAGAAAATGCTATCATGTGTCCAGACCTACACAGTATTAGAAGATGTCAGTAGATGCCAGGAAAACATCACTAACGGGGGTTCAAAATAGCACCCAAAAAAAAATCGTCTCGCCGCTTCGCGGCTCGTAGACAATGTAAACATCACTTACGGGGGTTCAAAATAGCAACAACAAAAATCGCCTCGCCGCTACGCGGCTCGTGGACAATGCTCTGCATCGCATTTGGGTTACCCCCTCCCACCCTTAGCAAAAAGCTAGATCCGCCCCTGTGTTTTGGAAGGATATGGTAAAGACTTAAAGTAAAGCAAGAATGTAATTAAGGTTGCTCCGAATAATGAGGGGGACATTATGTGCAGAACGGGAAGAAATGAAGAGAATGTCATCACGGGGATAAAAGTCAATAACAGCTATGTAACAAATACATTTCTAAGAGGGAAATTGCCGACTTAAATAAATGATAATGATGAAATACCAAGGAATTTAGGAGTTTCAAGGGTACCAATTCAATGGAAATTTGTATTAAAATAAGAGCCCCCGTCAGCACTAAAAGAGCCGTGAGAAGGCTCACGGGGGCTCTTTTTTTTGGAAGAGCCCCCGTGGACAAAAAATTAATTTGAGCCCTGGCTTTCACGTAACATGATCTCTTTGAAGGCGCGTAGACAATATTATTGTACAGGAATGAAAATTGCTATAAATCGCATTGTTTAAATAATGTAAACATTTTTTTTTAAAGAAGATAATTTTTTCTCGATAGGCCTATATCTATATAATTGTACTTTCCTAACAACTTTTACAATTTGTATTTTGTGTACTTTCCTAAAAACAATACATTTAACTTATTACCATGTGAATATTGTAAATCGATGATGTACTTCTATTATCTGTTATCACTCTAAATTTCAGTTTTTAATTTGAAATATAATCGTTGAAATTTCTCGTCTTGTCTTTAGATGTTTACAATGGTTTTTAATAATCACTAAACTCCTGACGTAATTTGAACAACCCATTTGTTCTGAAACTCATATTTGAACTCTTGGGTTATCTGCTTATATATGTATATATTATATTTTAGTTTTAATTTATGCCAAATATGTTCATTGTAATTGATATATATATATATATATATTGTAATTTTGCATGTTTTTATCTGTGGTCAATAACGCAATTCAGCCATCAACGGCTGCGAAGATATATTTTGATAAACCTTGAATTGAACTTGAATTGAATGACCAGGTGAAGAGAGTGAGACATACAATCATGATTCATATTTTGAGAAGGTAGGCGGTAAGTATAAAGAGGGGGATGTAAGTATGAGAAAGAGAGAGAGAGAGTTCCCAAACACACGAATATGATCGATGGGTTTGCATATTTTTGTATAGATGGTACCAGCAAACCAG